CGGGCCCACGGACAGGGCCAGCCCCCCTCCCGGGCCCACGGACAGGGCCAGGGCCAGCCCCCCTCCCGGGCCCACGGACAGGGCCAGCTCCCCTCCCAGGCCCACGGACGGGGCCAGGGCCAGCCCCCCTCCCGGGCCCACGGACGGGGCCAGCCCCCACCCAGAGCCACAGAAGAAGCTGGCCCTCCCAGCCGGCCCAGCTCCGTATTCCCAAGGCTCCCAGAGCCCTGGAGGGGGTGCACCCTGCCCGCAGGAGTGTGTCGCATCACACCACCCGCATGCTCAAGGTACAAGCTCTGGCCAGGTGGGCGTGCCAGCGGCCTCCACCCCTGATGGCCCCTGTCCCCCGTGTGCCCCAGAGGCTTTCTCTACATCCTAATCTGTGGCCAGCCCAGGTCTTCGGGCACAGTGGGGGCCGGGGCAGGTAAGGGAGAGACCCTTGTCCAAAGAAGCCTGGGACGGTCTGGGGCCCCGGCCTCCCTGGGTGCCCTGCCTGTCCTTCCCAGGAGCAGGGGGCAGCTGTAGCCGTGCGTGGACCCTCTCCAGCCTCTGCCTAGAGGAGGGGGGTTTTGGAAGAGAGTCCCTCAGCGCTGGACTTGTTCCCTAACACCTCTAGGGTTCACCTGACCTCCTCACGGTGTCCACATTGGCCTTCCGTGAGTGTGGCCTGGCCATCTCACCATGGCCCGGTGGCTGTTTGTGCAACTCTCCTCTCGTGAGGTTCTGTGTCCTCGGGAACAGAACTGCTGGCTGGATGTGCTGGACCCTGGCTCCTAGCACTCGTGAAGATTGAGCAGGGCCTCACCGCCTACACAGCCACCTGCTAACCCCGTGAGCAGAGCAGGGTCCAGGACCCAGGCTCCACCCTCTCTGGAGGGGCCACTGTGGGCCCCTCCCAAGGGTGCCTCCAGCTGGCTCAGGTCCATCCTTTGCCTCCTTGAGGGATGCATGTGTAGGAGCCGGGCCCATCGGTCTTGGGGGTGGACAGGCAGGTCCTCTGGGGTCTCTGTACCATGGCCACCTCTGTGGCCCCCAAGTACATAGCTGGACACAGCAGTTCTGCATGGCCAGCTTTTTCCAGAATCTCCCTGGGAATTTCTAGAGCATACTGTGGCCTAAAGATTCTGGCTTATCTGCAGAAGGGGACAGGAGAGGCCAGTTTGGGCCCCAGCCCTGGAGGGGCACTTAGTGGAGCTCTGGGATGCAGGCAGCTGGGAGCTGGGAGCAGCTGGGTTTAGGAACTAACCCTCCATCACACCTCTGGCCATCTCCCCTGCTGCTCTGAATGCTGGTGTGGCTGCAGGCTCACGGAAGCCCAGGCCAGGCTCACGGTACAGTGCTCTCTGTGCAGACACAATCTCTGGAAGTCCTCGGAGCATCCTTGCTAAGCGTGTATCCACTGGAGCAATCCCAGAGCCCACAGGGGCCCAGCACTCCAGCACAGAGAGCTGGGCAGGGAGGCCTAGGCCAGAGAGTGAGAACCAGAGCACTTCCCCTTTATATGGTCTCAGAAGTTGCTGGAAGACATTTTATATACATGCATGCGCATGTGCGCATGCGTGTGTGTGGGGGGGAGGGGGGCATATTTTTGTGAGATACTCGAGCACTTTATCATTACTACCACATTACATTACATGTGGAAAGTGAATCTGTTTATAAGTGAATAATTCTGAGATCTATGACAAATAGAAGCAGTGTAAGTTTTATAGCTTGTACTGACCATAGGATCTCACGCTGTGTCCAAGGACGGGGTCAGTCCTGAGCACAGGTGTCAGCCTGTCAGTGGGTGAGCGGGAAGGGACTGGGCCTGCTGAGTGGAGGGCAGGCCTGGCCAGGTCTGGGAGGGGAGTGGAGCGGAGGGGAGGGGCGGGGCCCACACCCACCACTTCCTCCCCCAGTGCCCACAGCTCTCCGGAGGGAAGGAAGGTCTCTCGTGGCTCTTTAAACTTGCCCAGTGCTCAGCAGTTGCTGAGTGGGTCTTCAACAGTCATTTGTTGAGAGAATAAAAAGGGAGTTTCTACAACGCCCGACCCAGGAGGGAACAGGAGTAAAGCCTGTCCTCAGTGCCCAGTCTCCCTGTCTCCACCTGACAGCCAGCGCCCAGGTCCCGGCCAGGGGGGCAGGCAGGGCTGCGGCTCTCTTCTGGGGCTCAGGAAGTAGCTGCTTTGCTGGGCAGCTGGAAGGCGGGCGGGCCACTTCCCGCCCGGGGGCCCCTGTTTTCTATGTTATTTTGGCTTGAACACCAGCACCGTCACCCTGGCAACTCGGGAGGACACCGCCCGCCCTGGGCCTGGGCACAGACGTTTCTGCCCACCTGCCTTGAGCTCTGAGGCTCGCTGTGTATGGAAAGGGACGTGGCTGCACTGGGATCTGGAAGCATTCGGGTTCTCGGCCCATCTGCAGCAGAGGGATGACTTTGCTTCCCCGGCCGGAGGTGGGAAGCAGCCCGGGGGCCGTCCTCCAGGCAGGAGCCCCCCAGGAGGGCCCTGTGTGCGCTCAGGTGTGGGGAAACGTTCCCACCTTCCTTCCTGGCAGTCTGGCTGGCCTCAGGCTCCACAGATGTTTTAATTAAGGCAGGCACGTCTGTTTCCGCAGATGTGAGGTTCTGCATGGTGTTTTCAGAGGAGGACTGGGCTAGTGAATGCCAGCCTGAAGCCAGACGGCGCTCCTGCGGGTCTCTGGGGTGGGGTGAGGTCCTGGGATCGGACCCGGCCGGTGCAGGACCACGGCGGGGCGGCTGGGGGCTTGTTTGCCCCGCCGGCGTTGCTAGTTGCTGCTGTGGCAGGGAGCACCCTTCTTTGAGCCGGGATCTCGCGGCACCTCTGAACCTGCTCCTGTCTGTCACTCTGGCTGAGCCGCCCTGGCAGGCTTCCTGCACTTGCTGCTCTGTTGTGTGCTGTCTTGTCCCGAGGAGTGGTAACGTGTGGGCTGCCTGTAGGCAGGCCTGCGGTGCCGGGGGACAGAGCAGGGAGCAGACATTTGGACAGATGTGGCAGGCAGGCCCCTCGTGCTCTGTTTGTGGCTTTGTGTCCTGCGGCGGGGTAGAGGGAAGGGCCTGTTCTGGAACTGAAAGATACAAGCCACTTGCCTCGGCTTTGCAGTCCAGGCTGTGATCTGATGGTGGCGTGATGGCAAAGCGCCCCACGCTGGGTGCCCACGAGGCGTATCCCGCCACTGGCCCCGCCGTGCTGGAGACGGGCCGTGGGCCGTGGGAGGGAGGGCTGAGGGCCGAGGGCCGTGGGAAGGAGGGCCTAGGGCCGTGGGAGGGAGGGCTGAGGGCCGAGGGCCGTGGGAGGGAGGGCCGAGGGTCGTGGGAAGGAGGGCCGAGGGCCGTGGGAGGGAGGGCCGAGGGCCGTGGGAGGGAGGGCCGAGGGCCGTGGGCTGTGGGAGGGAGGGAGGGAGGGCCGAGGGCCGTGGGAGGGAGGGCCGAGGGCCGTGGGAGGGAGGGCCGAGGGCCGTGGGAGGGAGGGCCGAGGGCCGTGGGCCGTGGGAGGGAGGGCTGAGGGCCGTGGGAGGGAGGGCCGAGGGCCGTGAGCCGTGGGAGGGAGGGCCGAGGGCCGTGGGCCGTGGGAGGGAGGGCCGAGGGCCGTGGGCCGTGGGAGGGAGGGCCGAGGGCCGTGGGCCGTGGGAGGGAGGGCCGAGGGCCATGGGAGGGAGGGCCGAGGGCCGTGAGCCGTGGGAGGGAGGGCCGAGGGCCGTGGGAGGGAGGGCTGAGGGCCGAGGGCCGTGGGAGGGAGGGCCGAGGGCCGAGGGCCGTGGGAAGGAGGGCCGAGGGCCGTGGGAGGGAGGGCCGAGGGCCATGGGAGGGAGGGCCGAGG